AGTAAAGATCACTCAATTCCAATTTGGTGGCCCTTGTGAAATCTAAGTGAAGTTGCTGCTGGAATCTTGGAACACAGCAGCTCCTGCCGGGTCCTGGACCTGCAGCTGCAGGGCCCAGCTTCAGGGCTGGGGGTGCAGCTCAGGGGCAGAGCACCTGCTTAGCACGCAGGAGGCCCCGAGCTCCAGGTTAGAACAACAACAAAAAACAGCTCTAAACTGACTTCAGCTTATAAAGTGAGCCCACTCTGCAGAGGCAAGGATCCAACTCCCTCCTTCAAAGTAGAAAGATATAAATAAATAAATTTCAAAGTCAAATCCAAAGAGAACTTTACCCGGATGCTTTCATTCTGACCCATTTACAGCTGGTTCTCGGGGGCCTTTGGGGCGGATTCTCACAGCGGGCACAATTAATCACAGGACTTGGTATGCATGAAACCAACATCACTACCCGCCCTCCCGCCTCCGTGCCAACTGAAAAATGCAAATTCCCGCATGGCCCAGATTCCCTTAAAATGGAGGCAACAGTCAATCATATGAAATGAGCCAGAAATTCTAAAACCATTGCCCTTACATTGAAACTTTGGGTTCTTCCAGATGCCCAAGACTTAAACACTCCCCACAGTTTCCGCTTTGAAAAGGACTGTCTTGAGGTCCCTGTGCAGCAGTGGCTCTATTTCTAGCCCCTCCTGGGCAATGTGAGCTGCTGCTGCAAACCCAGAATCAGAACCTGGCAGGAGCAGACGAGGCACGGGCAACGCCTGCACTTGAGAAGCTCATCTGGCCAGGACAGCGCTGGCACCTCGGTCCGCTGTCACGGGGCAGAGCCTGGAGGCCAGATTTCCTTTGGTTGTTGAGGACCATGTAGACATAAAAGCTCAAGAGGACCTGACAGCAATGTCACCACATTCAAGTGAAAATACATGTGCTCGGGCCAATAGAAGAACCTCATGACCTCTTCATTAGAGAGGGAAGATTTTATTTATGACTGTCCCCCTGGACAGACTGTGACTCAACAAACTAGCATAGTTGCATTTATTAAGTTACAGCGAGGGTCACATCCTCCTGCAAGGCCATCCGTGGCAGACACCAGCCGAGGCCCTCTGGTGCCTCGTGATGTGTGTGGACTTTTTAATTGAGAAATATTAATTAAAAGCTAGAAGGCGACTTTTTTTTTTTTCTCGTTATCTACAGATGCTGCCGAAAGGAGGAATGTTTTATCAGGTTTCAAGTGACACAGATATAAGTTGGCAGTTGGCAGCTTCACACACAATCTCATCAGCAAGTGAAACTTGATTTTAGCCAAAGCTTAGACAGACAAGGAGACTCGGCGTGCGGGGCCCACGGTCACCGCGCCACCCCGCCGCGCATCCGGTCCTCCGCGGGTCTGCCTGTAACAGTCACGGTTGTGGGGAGGGACAACTCCAAGTTTTAAAAAGGTTTTAAGTGGTATTAAATATAAGTCTTAGCACCTTTGGCATTTTTGTCCAAATAGACTTCGACGTACGAGGTGGGGACATAGCCCTCTTCGTCCTCGTTCCTCCGGATGCGGGTCCACCCGTCGCCCTTGTCTTCCTCTATGACGTACAGGATTTCTCCTTCAATCACGGAAATGGTTCCTTCATTCTGACCTGCAGAGGCAACATGGCAACGCTTTAGATTTCTTGTCAAGTCCCAGCAGAAAGCCAGGGGGACCTTGGCGGGGGGGAGGCAGTAGGGGTCAGTCTGGGGTCAGTTCGAAGGCCATCCCCTTAGACCTCCTGCACACAAGGTCCCTCAACGCTGACCCGAATGCTCTCCTCCCACCTAGAGACCTTCTGGGTCTCCCGTCCGTCTCTGCAGGGAGCCCCTTTCTGCTCCTCCCCCTCCTGGCCCTCCCCCTCGGGGCTTTCTCTTGGTGACCGTGCCCTGACTCCGACTCCCTTGCCACAGTGTCCTCTCCTACGCAGGTTTTTTTCCAGCGGCTACAGTCCCACCTGTCCTGCCCTCTGCAGCGAGCTCCCTCTGGCTGTGGCCCTGGCCCCCAGGAACCTGTGGCCACTGGGCTCCTGCTCCTCCCTCTCCATCCCGCTGGACAGCCCACGGTCCTGGCGACAGGGCTGGGGAGCGCCTCTCATTTCCTCTCCTCTTTGTTCCTGGGTCTGAGCAGCCTGTCCACGGCAACCTCTCTGTGTCCACTGGCTAAGATCAATTACAAAAGGCCAGCCACCGAGGTCCAGGCGGTTTTCTGAAAGACCCATAGCTTAGGGACCTGTTGGCAGGGTGACAGGGTGGATTGGAGGCGGCATGGCTTGGATGGCAAGCAGCGGCGGAAATGGTGAATCTGGTGCTTCTTTCTCATTTTGTAAACATGGACTTTTAGCCTGTTGAAGGCTCTGAAAAGTCCTGGCACACCTGCCTGTGCCAGGCACGGTGGCCCAGGCTGAGGCAGGAGGATCATGAGTTCAAAGCCAGCCTCAGCAACTTAGTAAGGCCCTAAGCAATTCAGCAAGATCCTGTCTAAATATAAAAAATAAATAATAAAAAGGGGCTGGGGATAATCCCTGGAGAAAGAGGAGCATTTAGATAGATTTAGATTAAAAAAACACCCACTGTAAAACTCATTTATCTCAGGGCTTCCCAAACATACCTGAGCTCAGAGTTTCTTTTCCTAGTGACCCCGTAACATTCTTAGAAACAGACTTTGAAGCTTTACATTAGAAACCCCCGGTGGGTCTGTCAGTCCATTCTGTGAGCTGCCTGCCTCCCCTGTTGCCCAGGGCCCGGCGCTGACCACGTCCACACCCTGCCCAAACCCTGCCAACAGGTCCTCTAATGCTCCTCTCTCCGGCCACGGCACGTCCACCTTCCCTCTAACACCCCACACCCACTCCCACCCCTCTACTCCCCTCTTCCTGCCTCCAGCCCCACTCCGCTCCCCTGGGAGGGGCCCTCACTCTCCAGGCACCGTGGCCGCCCAGGACCCTCCTTTGACAGGAGACCCCTCTGTTGTGGGGGTCTGCTCTGCTTCTCCAGGGAAGGGGCCACTCCAGCCACCTGTACCCGCACCCTCCCGGCCGGACAGTCCAGGGCTCTGCCACAGTCCTGACCCCGCACCCTCTGCCACAGCTGCCAGGTGCCAGGGACCGGGTCTGGGAAGCTCTAGGGAAAGTTCTGGTCCCAGGAAGAGCCAAGCGGCCCTGCCCCAGGGAAGGCAGCAGAGGCCCGGCCGCCTGGGCTACCTTCAAAGGTGTAGAGGGCCTTGCAGGTCCCTATGGCGGGAAGGGGCTCCTCGTCATCGAACTCGTCGTCGAAGTCGGTGGCCAGCACCTTCACCTCGTTCTCCTGGCTCCGCTCCTCCGTGTAACTGCCATCGGGGCTGCTCAAGAGAGGAAGACCCGCGGCAACTATAGCGACCGCGACGGCGGCGGGAGGGAGGCGCCCCCTGTCCCCCCAAAGGGTTCCACCCCCGCAAAGCGCCTGCCACGCTGGCATGACAGGACCCTGTGGTGGCCCTCCGCTGGGATCACCACTCCAGCAGAGCTCAGCCCCACTGTGGGGGGGTCACAGGGCCCTGGGGACAGGCCCTGGGATCCACATTTCCAGGGGCCAGATCCAGGCACACATCCAGTGCCGCGCTCCCGCCGGGCGCCGCGCAGATACTGTACCTCTCGCGGTCCTGCGCGCAGCTGTTGGCCGTCGTCGGGGCGCCCTGGCCGTCGTACATCCCGCTCTGCCGCCGCGCCTGCTCGCCTCGCGCGGGGAGCCGGCCTTCCACCTCTGCCAGCCAGGCCTGGGGACGACAGCCAGGACGACTAGGGCCTGAGCTCCCAAGGTGGGACAGCCCCAGGCCACCGGGTCTGCATGGGACTGGAGGTGCTGCACCACTGAGCGGCATCCCCAGTCCTTTTTATGTTTTTACTTTGGAATTTGAGATCCTCCTGCCTCAGCCTCCCGAGGATTGCAGGAACAGGGCCGCAGCGGGGCTCCACCACTGGCTTTTTATCCGAGTTCAGAGCCACAGAAGGAAGCTCCTATTCACCTAATTTCCCCCGCTGTGGCAAAAAGCACACTGCACTAGCTTTATCCTTGGGATCTAAGCAACTGTGTGGCCTTGGATGAGTGACTGACTTCTAATGCCCAACATTCAGTGCCCCGACCCCGGCCACTGCTGCACCTGGGTTGTCTGCTTCCTACCACCCGTTCCTGAAGCAGCCCGAGAAGGGACGTTGGATTCCACCCAAGGACACAGGAGTGACACGGCCGCTCCCTGTGTCTGCTCCAACACCTGCTTTTCCGTACCTCAAATTTCTGGGCCTCTAGCCTCAGCTTCTCTATGTTTTGGCTGACTTCTGTCAGTTTGTGATCCAGACTGGCCGGGTCTCCCATCTGCGGGTTCTTCAGGTAGACGTCTTTCATTTTGGTTATAGCGTCTCTGAAAAAATGAATGAGCAGAACATGGTCCCAGCCGCCCGGGGCCCAGGGGCCACTGTCCCCCAGGCGCTCTTTGAAAACCAAGTGCCTGGAGCTGGGGGCCGATGAGACCTGCATGGATTTGAAGGGGCTGCGGGGGCGCTTCCTTCTAAAACCTTTCCATGTGAATTCTGCTCCCAAGGTCTGCATAATCCAGGTCTGACTTTTAAAATCCCAGTTGCTTTGGCTGAATAAATAAATCCCATTGTCTTCAGGGAAGGAGAAACACCATCCATCCTGCCCCACCCTCGACCCTAAACAGCAACACAAACAAACAACATCCAAGTATTTCCATGTGGGCGCTCCCTGCGCTGACAGCAGCCGGGGCTGCCCCCTGGTTTCCGTGGGCTGCCCTGTGCTGATCTCAGGGAGAAGCACAGCTCGTTGCTTTGCAAATTTGATGAGGAAACATTTCAGCTAGGAGACAGTGCTGCTTGAATCCACAGCTGGTCATGCCGGGCAACAGAGCCTTAAAGTGCACATTCCAAAATTCCACTCCCTTCCCAAAATCCCATTTTGGAAATGGCCCCTAGGAGCCAGAGTGAGGCTTCCCAAGAGCAGCCTGCAGGCCTGCTGGGGCTTCTCTAACTACTAACCCTGACCTCAAGGGGCTTCCCTAGCTGCCAGCTTATCATTAAGACAGAAGAGGGTTGCAGCCACCTGCCTGCTTCCATCAGGCCTGGGCGGTCGGCCTCCCCCACATGGCCACTGTGAACTGTCAGCCCCGCCTGGGTCGACTCTCCAGCAGAGCCTGAGGTCCACTTGGACCAGCAGCCTCTTGACCTGGCTCTACTTTCTTTTTTCCCAATAGCATGCACCAACGGCCTGTGTTATAGAACTTGCTATGACGACTCCGGTGTTCTGTGTCTTTTCTCACTGGAATAGAAGCTCTCTAAAGAGCTCAATGTTATTCTAGCTTGATGTGTGTCCCCAGTGTCAGGCCCAAAGCAGAGGTTCAGTAAAGACCTGTTAAATGAATAAATGTTCTTGCACAATGTCATCCACCCTTATGAAGCTCTTTGCAAAACTCCTTTCTCAACCTCATGGCTCCCCTTTCACCCACTGCCCTGTTTCTCAGAATCCTCTGAAGAGCTGTCACAATCCATGATCTTCAGTCCCCCTCCCAGTCCAGTCTCTGCTCATCAAACTCTCCAAAAGCTCATCAAGTTTATAGTTTTTTTTTTTTTTTT